TGGCGGGGGGCGGGTCCCGGCGGGGGCCCAGCCGCAGACCCCGGTCCCAGAGTCCGTGTCAGAGGCCGGCGTTCCCCGGGGCTCCTCGCTGCGCCCCGCTCCGGGAACCGGAAACAGGAAGCACCGAGTGGCCGCTGGGCAACTGCTCCGCCCACCAGATCCTGCGGCATGTGACCACAGAACCTTTCCTCCCTGTCCTTCCCGGGCTCCGTGACCATCCTAAACGCTGATTGGCCAGTATCCTAGCATGTAGCTCCGCCCTTCCCCCGCCCACGCCAATCACCATGAGATTATCAAGTCTAGTTGCACCTTTTTAGATCGCTGTTCAGCCAATGGGGCCCCAGAGTCCCGCCCACGCGGCTTCTCGGTTTGCACGCCCCCGTCACTCGGGGTCACGCGCCAGGTCTGCTCCCTGGTAGGCCTGATTGAAGGCTGTACGGGAAGGCGGGAGGCGGAAGCGGAAATACAGTAGTGGCCCGCTCTGCGGTCCCGCCGGGAGTTGTAGTTCTCACCTGAGGTCTCCTCCTCCTTGCTCCTCTCCAGTTCCTCGTTCGCCTGCGAGAGCCGCTGTTCCGCCGTTTGCGGGCGTCTGCAGTCCTGGCACCTCTAGCACGGGGGAAGGGTGGCGGCCCCACCGTTCGTGGGCCTCCTGGTTTTCTTAACGACGACTTTGTTCTTGATTTCCTTTTTATACCGTAGTACCTCGGCTGTATTATTGTTGTTATTGTTATGATTATCCGCAGCATTTCTGCCCGTCCCTGTTTATTTTGCTCGGTCAACGCTCTGCAACCACCTCTGTTCGTTAGAGGTTCTTGTGCATCCCCTGCCCGCTGCATCCCGTTCCGGGGAACGAACAACTTTGCTAAGGACTCTAGCGCGTTTTTTAAGTCCCTGCCACCTGTCGCAGTCGTACTCGTCCTTAGAACTGGGTTCAAATACTATTACTCCCACAACTTCTGACTTGTGCATTTTGAGTGTGCTTCGTTGGCTCTGCGTGATAGGTGCCGGGTTTTGGTTCATATTTCTCTCCATATTAGAGCTCGTGCAGTGTTTTTATCCAGTAATCGTAGAAGATAACAGTGGCTACGTGGTGCCCGGCACTGATGTGAGTGCTCTAGGCAACGATTAATTCACTGACTTTCCATTAACCTTGTGGGGAAGTATCTTAGTGCGGTTTTGAAGATGAATACATTAAAGCAGAGGGAGGCTAAATAACCTTCTCCAAGTACCGGGGCTATTAAGTTAAGGAACCATCAAGAATTCATGTTCTCAAGCACTGTATTATATATTGTGGTTCTACATTTGTTGACTTTAAAATTTATTTAGGAACCAGCAGATGGCGTAATGGTTACGTTGCTGGACTTTGAAGTAGTTGACCGGTTGGGGTCTAGACCCAGCTTAAAACTCATGCTGGACGCCTATGCATGCATACTCAAAATCCTAAGAGGAAAATGGAAGAGAAGGGATTGCTGCAAGGCCATCTCCCTTGGGGGGAGGATGATTTCTCACTTTCTGTCACTTTGTCTCTGAGAGGAATGCATGTGTCCTATAGTAAAAATTTCTCTTTCTAAATTTTATTTATTTATTAAAATATTTTTATATCTTCTTTTTATAATTATTTATTTTATTTATCATTTATTGTTATTATATTTTAATTTGACCAGAGAGAGTAAGAGAGAGTAAGTGAGAAAGCAAGCTGCTGGTGGGACCAGCAGTTGATGTAATGGCTATGTCACTGGACTCTCATGTAGTTGACCGCGATTTGAGTCCCGGCCCTGGTGGCATAAACTCACGCTGGGCGCATGTGCGTGCATGCTCAAGATCCCGAGAGGAGAATGGAGAAGGGATGGGAGGGTGGATGATTTCTTGCTCTCTGTCTCTCTCTATTCCTGGCAGGCTAAAAACCTCTCCAAAAAAATTAATTAATTAAATTAAATTAAAAAAACAAAACCAAAAACAAAACAAGCTGCTGAGTCCAGGACTTGAACTGTAGCTGGCTATGTGGGAATTCAGCGCCTTAACCGCCATGCTGCCCGGTGGCCCCTAAATTTTATTTATTTAATTGTCAGAGGGCATGTGTACTTGACTTGAATATGGCACAATCCTTTTTCCTCATTTCTCCATTCCATCAAGAGTGGGGACATGCACACATGTACCTGGTATTATTTCTAAGGATTATTTAATTGTATTTATCACTATTAATTTAATTTGCTACAGGGCCTGTGCACTCACTGGAAAGAGACAGACAGACAAAGGCAGGGAAAGTGAGAAAGCAAGCCACCAGGCCCAGGATTTGAACTGTGCTGTTGGCCACATGGGATCCAGCCGCTTTAACCTCCATGCTATTTGCTGGCCCACAGATACACTTTTTAATAGTTGCATAATATTTAGCTTTATGGATGACTACATAACCAAGGCCATGAATGGTGGACATTTAAGTTACTCCTATTGATTGCATTTATCAATCCATTCAGGGGATACCAAGCAATTACTGTGCATCGAAGTGTGTTACAGGTTTTGGGATGCGGCACAGAACAAGGGGGAATAAAACCATGTTACAATGAGCTTCCATTCTGTTGTAGAATTGAGGTTTGTTTGTGGGTGAATTTAAGCCTTGGTGTCAAAAATCTTGCCTCTTGATCATTGCTTAGCATTGCATTTGGCTGGAGGGAGGGAAGTGTGCATATTGGAAATGGGACGTGGGCCAGAAACTGAGTTGGTTGAACGACTTGTCATCTGTGAGGGTGGACGCAGGGGAGGGCTTCCCTTTCCAATCAATTGCAAAGATCTGACTCCTTTCTCTGCTTCTCTGGCCTTAATGCCTATTCTGGAGCTTTCTGTAGCAGAACTCCTATCTCAGAGAGCTGAGCTCAAGATTTTTGCCAGGGGCAAAAGTTGAAATTAGCAGGTTTTTTTGCATTTCTGGTTTACCTCTTGCTAGCCTTATCATTATCTAGGATATCCTCCCACGCTGCTCCCACACCCACACCTCATTTTCCCACGCGAGGTAAATTGTTCATTTTGCTTAGAAAGCAGTTCTAGGAGTGTTGTCTTTTTTTTTTTTTTTTTTTGGAGAGGTTTTCACTATAGGGCGCGTGCGCTCGCCAGACAGACAGAGAGAGACATAGAGACAGAAAGCGAGAAATCACCCCCCAGGGGGGATGGTCACGCCGCAATCCTTCTCCTCCATTCTCCTCTCAGGATCTTGGGCACGCAGGCACACGCGCCTGGTGTGAGTTTTAAGCCACCGTGTCCCGGATGCGAACCGCGGTCGACTACGTGGGAGTCCAGCGACATAACCTTTATGCTAACTGCTGGTTCCCTATGTTGCCTTGAATCAAAGGCTGAGGACACCTCCTGTTCCCTGTAATATAAGAGGGAAAGTGCCTGGCAGGTCTGGGTTTTCTGAATACTTCTTCAATTGATTGCTTTGATAATTGTCCTAGACCTGCTCTTAATTTGTGTTTGTTGACTGAGTTGGGAACTTCGTTAGGAGTGGCTTTTAAACCTCTTGGCACCTTTCTTCTTGGTGGGCTTTGTGTTAACAAATATTGCTCTGCTGTCATTGTCAAGCACATCCTACTTCACTGCTTCTCATCTGTTTGGGGATCTGTTTTATTTTTTAATGATTTATTTCTTCTCCATTTTATTTTTTAATATACTGTAGGGCATGTGTGCTCACCAGAGAGAGACGAAAGTGAGAAAGCAAGCCACCAGGTCCGGGAATTGAACTGTAGTCAAGCATGTGGGAGTCCAGCACTTTAACCACCACCTGCTGACCCCAGAATTTTTTTTTTTAAAGAGAGATTTTTACTATAGGGCATGTATGCTGGCTGGAGAGACAGACAGAAAGTGAGAAATCACACCCAGGGGGTGACCACATCACAATCCCCTCTCCTTAATTCTCCTCTCAGTACTTTGGGCACGCACGCATGCACACATGCCTGGTGTGAGTTTTTAGTCGTCAGGTCTGGGACCTGAATGTGGTCCAGCACGTAGGAGTCCAGTGACTTAAGTATTAGATCTTCTGCTAGCTCTCGCCCCCGGGGCTTTTTAAAAAAGTTTGTTAGTTTCTCAGTTTGATTATGCATTTATTCAATTTGTCATCTTAAACCAGATTTCAATTGTGATTTTTAAAAAAGAAATATTTATTTAATTTTATTGATTCATTCATTCATTTTTTTCATGTGACCAGAGTGTGAGAGAGAGAGGGAATGTGAGAATGCAAGCCACCAGGTTCAGGACTCAAACTGTGGTTGATAGTGTGGGAGTAAAGTGCTTTAACCACCATGCCACCTGCTGGTTCCTTGATTTTTTAAATTAAATTTTTTTTTAAATTTCACTTATTTTTTGAGAGAGAGAGAGAAAGTTACTCGTGACAGGGCCTCACCACGCCATGATTCTTCCCCCAACCTCCCAGCCAGCCAGGATCAGGGGCACTGTGAATATGGAGGAATGTTAATGCAGCTGAACACATTTTGTAACAAGCTGTTGCCTCTCTCCCAGGCCCATTCAGTTCTCAAAGAGAATAATTTATTCACTATTGAGCATTGGACACATCGTTTCTCCCCTAAATACCATTCTGAAACATCATTTGCATCGCCTATTTCCCTTTCCTTAATGAAGAGGACATATAAGCATCAACCATCCAGCCCCTCTCAGAGTTCATATTTTCTATGACTCCCATGTAGATCTGTTTTCTTTTTCTTTTTTTTAAGAATTGTTTTATTTAACATTACTTTTTTTTTTTTTTTTTGGAGAGGTTTTCGCTATAGGGTGCGTGTGCTCGCCAGACAGAGAGAGACAGAGAGACAGAAAGCGAGAAATCACCCCCCAGGGGGGATGGCCACGCCGCAATCCCTTCTCCTCTATTCTCCTCTCGGGATCTTGGGCCCGCACACACACGCGCCCGGCGTGAGTTCTAAGCCACCGGGTCCGGGATGCGAATTGCGTTGACTACGTGGGAGTC